CTTATTTAAAACCAAAAGAAAATGACTTGAGAAAAATAAAATATGATATTTGCTGACTTATAGCGCTTTGCTGTTGCTGATTTTTTTGTTTTGTTTTGTTTTGTAGTGAAATGATGTCTTCACTATTTGCTATGAGAGACTGACATCAAAGCTCTGACTAAACTGAATTCCCTAGATCTCATAGAGGTATTATATCGATCCATAGAGTTACATATGATTGTTGATAGCCCCAATACCGAATTCTTTCAAAATTCAACCGAGTTAGGAAAAGAAGGAAAAGAGATTAGAATTCTATTTTCCTAAACAATGCTCTTCGCGTCGACAAGCACCGATATGAAGAGATGAGAACTGATCATTTAAGAATCCTATATCACTTTCCAAACTTTCTAACCGAATCTATTAATAGAAAACACTATTCTCCATCCCAAGGCCGGTGGACTGATGATGATGGTTGAGGCTATGCTGATGACAGAGGTATTCATAGTTGGATCTTGAAGTGTGATCTTGAACAAATAAATCAATATTCCCTACCAAGTGTTCCAAGAAATTGGGCTCAAGATAAACCTTTTCAAAACAGAAACTATAATCTGGAACTGGAATGAAAGCAGTGATGGCACCTACCCGGAATCAATAAGGCTGTGAAATTAGTGAATACTAAACATTTCAGATACCTAAGCATAGGAATCACATATAATAAATTTAGTACAGGAGGAAAAAGAAATTGAACATCGAATAGGCAGGGCTAAAGATAGTTTTCATACCACGACACTAACGAATCTACTATTAGAAGACAACGATCCTGCTTTCCTTCCCGGGGCCAATGTACAGATTACGTAGGTGATATACCAATGACATAGATAGTCATAGCTGAAATAAGAATGATCTTGAACAGAAAATATACATCGTCTACCAAGTGTTCCAAGAAATAGGACTAAAGATAAACCTTTTCAGAACAGAAAATACTAATACTACTACTATGCTATTTCTTCTTCTTCTTCTTCTTCTTCTTCTTCTTCTTCTTCTTCTTCTTTCTCCTCTTCTTCTTCTTCTTCTTCTTTTCTTCTTCTTCTTCTTCTTCTTCTTCTTCTTCTTCTTCTTCTTCTTCTTCTTCTTCTTCTTTCTCCCCCTCTTCTTCTTCTTCTTCCCATCTGCTTCCACTCACTATATTCTTACTACTGCTAGCACTTTACTTATAACCTTCTTCTTCTTCTTTTTCTTCTTCTTCTTCTTCTTCTTCTTCTTCTTCTTCTTCTTCTTCTTCTACTTCTTCCTCCTCCTCCTCCTCCTCCTCTTCTTCTTATTCTTCTTCCTCCTCCTTCTCCTCCTCTTCTTCTTCCTCTTCTTCTTCTTCCTCCTCTCTTCTTCTTCTTCTTCTTCTTTTTCTTCTTCTTCCCATGGGCTTCCATTCACTATCTTCTTACTACTGCTACTACTTTCCCAATAATCTTCTTCTTCTTCTTCTTCTTCCTCCTCCTCCTCCTCCTCTTCTTATTCTTCTTCCTCCTCCTTCTCCTCCTCCTTCTCCTCCTCTTCTTCTTCTTCCTCCTCTTCTTCTTCTTCTTCTTCTTCTTCCCTTACACCCACTCTCTTCTTACTACTACTATTATTTTCTCCTTAACATTCATCTACTACTTATTTTTTTTTCCTTTTCTCTTTACTCCTACTACTACTGCTACTGCTACAGCATCTCAACCTTTTTTTTTTCTTCTAGCCTTTTACCTGTAAATCTTCTCTCCTTCCTTTCTATTTCTGCTCATTCATTTTCTTCACTCGATCTTTCCTCTTTCTTCACTTCTTCTTCTTCTTCTTCTTCTTCTTCTTCTTCTTCTTCTTCTTCTTCTTCTTCTTCTTCTTTCCCCGACGTGCTGAGCTCTCTACCATTCATCTACATCTGTCACGATTGTATGACAAAGAATGGGTCTTTCTTGGAGTGCTCATCATGTGGCGTATCTTGGGCCTCTTAATCTGTCGGAACCCATCCCTCTCCAGGAAAACAGGAGCTATAATCAAGAATCAGAATAAAAGCAATGTTGGAACATACTCTGAATCCATAATGAGAGAGTAGACTTAATAAATACTAAACACTTCAAATAACTCGGTGTATGGATCAGTTATAACAAATTTAGTAGAGATGATAAGGAAATTGATCGAACAAGATAGTCTCGAGTTAGTTTCGCCCAATACCGGAGGATGCTACAGAACTAAAATATTAACACAAGAATTCTAGTCACGTAATTACATAGCGTCATCAGATCCAGGTTTTCATATGGATACCATAGACGACGCCCAACTTCTTCAGAAATTTCTAAACTAATAGCTTTAGAAAATCGCTATTTCGGAATCATTGACTGGAAATGACTTTGAGCGAATGAAGGGAGGACCGTAATTCTTCGACTCTCGTAAAATGGCATTATAGAATCAGGAAGGATGGCAGCAAATAACAGAAACCTCACCCCTTGATGCCTGTCAATAAAAACAATGGCTAAAATTGACAGTGAAAATGAATATAATTACATAATCAAAATGATGATTTTCCATACTACTTCAAGCAGAAAGTTAGGAAGGGAACTAAAAAGATCAATTAGAAAAGATCCAACTCAATTCATAAAACTTTTGGCACGTAAAAGAGGAGTTTTACCTATGACAGTCCAAAGAGCAGTGAAAAAAAGACTTGAAAATGAAATCGTATGTGAAACCTGTGAGGTACCTTGTTACACCAGGACAGAAAGTTAGGTTAGAGTGGGACGGAGTTCATCTGAATGAGTTAGAATTCAGTCTCTTTTAACCAGGTTTTAAGATAAGACATCTTGATACCAGTTGCCATAAGAATCATTGAAAAGACCTTTGAGTTTAAATTAAAAAAAAAAAAAACATGTAGTTTCAACGAATGATTTATTTGATGGAAATATTTCGACGAGCAGTTGCCAGTCATGGTCACACCTTTAATTTGAGTAAAACTGGAAAAAAAAAACTAGAAACGCTTAAGAATTCAAATCAAGGAAAAAAAGGGTTGATGACGTTTACAAAGTAAGAGCAAGTTGTGGCGTAAAAAAAAATGGAATTTTGTTTTTACTCTACAAATTGCCATTTTTTGGTAATTTGTTGAGTAAAAACAAAATCACTTTTTTTTTAATTATGCAACTACCAACGGAGACAAGCATCCTAACCTTTGAGTTACTCAACTAGAAAGAAAAGAGGTTAAAATCGTTTTGTGTCAGGCCCACTATGTCTTCCCAACTGAGCAATAGTTAGAGGAAAAAATCACTCAGACCTTCAGAATGGTACCGAGATTTATACTCTGACTTCCAACATCAAAGTCCATTCAAGAACAGTCAAGAGAACGGGGAATAAGATATTAACAAAATGGAAACAGTAGAGAGAAAAACTAGATGAACAGGTTACAACAGGAACATGGATCATCATTGCAACTTACAGCTATATATATATAAGCGTTATTTTTATAGTTACAAATATTTAAGTAAATGCTCTGTTTATAATAAACAGTGTTAACGACATTTACAGGCCTGAATGTCCGAGAAATCTTCATAGAAAATATGCGCCCTCCGGCAGGAATCGAACCTGTACCCTATACGGAACCGTCATATAGCCTGACGTGACTTAACCGACTGGGCCACAGAGGAGCGTCCAGTTGGCGAGGTCGGTTTTATTGTTTCTAAACACAATTCGCCATGAGTTTCTCTCATTCATTCATATCTGTTCAATGTGTATCCAAATGTAAATAAATGACGTCACACATTATGAAATGGACAAAGTCCGTCAATTATTTCAGACAATTTTTATGTTAATACGTAATTTTTATAGATACAAATATTTAATCAAATGCTCTGTTTATAATAAACAGTATCAACAACATTTACCGACCTGAATAAATATATATATATATATGTGTGTGTGTGTGTGTGTGTGTGTGTGTTTGTGTGTGCATTGTTCAAAGTAGAGTTCAATAGTGTTATAAAAATCTTGGAGAGATCCAATAAGATATTTTAAATAATTTCGAAGATATACTGGTACAAAACTTAATCTAATAATTGAACAATCATGCTATTGTACTTTTTGGACAATTTTGTTGTTACACTGGTATATATATATATATATATATATATATATATATATATATATATATATATATATATATATATATATATAATGTCAAGGTCAAAGGTGGCTAAATGTCTTACGTGAATCTCAGGAAAGACTAATAAAAGAAAAGGATTGCATTCCAGTCTTTGACGATCAAAATTGAATTGGTAGAAAGAAGCCGGAAGAGAGTTACACAAGAGGGAAGTGAAAATAAGTAACTCTTACGATTCTGTCTAATCATTTCAAATGCAATATGATGAGACCCAACTGCCAATCTAGTACTGCGCTTAAATTCGTAAAATCGAAAGTGAAAAACTCACCAGAACAACTATTTCGAAAATATTCACGGAAAAGGCTCAAGTAGGCTAGAAAAGGAACTACCATGAAAGCCTAGATGTCAGGTCAGGGCGAAAAATATTGCAGATCCTTCTTTGAATTTTATTAAAAATCTCCAAATACATAGCAGAAGTATCAGGCTAGATATGACAAAATTATTCAATGATTGGACGAATAGTCGACTTATAAATATGTATGATTCTGGTTACAAAAATTTATAATACGACACATGGAAAGATCTTAGTAGAATTAGTAATTCCATGTTGAAAAACCTGGTGAAAAACGACTACTTATCTTTATATTGCTGCCTTGTTATACAGCTGTATATATAGTTGCGTACAGGATGGCAACGAAGCATAAAGTGGATGTGTTATAGTTATATTGCCAATGGCAATCAATAGAACGACAATTTGGTGAGTCAAACCTTCGCTATTCTCAAACGATAGACATCGAAACCAATCGGTTGGCCAGTGTCGGTCCTTATCAGCTACCAGATAAATTATATCTGTTATCGATCCCAGCCATTTTGTTTTGATCGCCCTACTGAGGTTCTTCTCCTGCAAATGAAAGTGGGGGGTGGAGGTAGGAAGGGGTTGCAGTGAAACTCATTAAGGCTATCCAAACTCTTTCATAGGCGGTATCTTCATTGTCCTTATCACCGACACTAATAGTCTCCATCGCTCAGCCTTCGTTATTATTGATTAAATAAAATCATTTAATATATATCAAGACGCACACATACAAACACACCGACCGGTATAAATAAGTCTACATACTCTTGATGAAAAAAATGTTTTAATGTCATTGCACTTGATCCAGTGATGAATATTTATCAGAGATAAAATCTCTAACAGGGAAAATATAAGATCAAACTTTAGCTAAGGATTTACACAACCAACTAACACACATACAAAACACACAAACACACACAAACACACACACACACACACACATATATATATATATATATATATATATATGAGACAAAAGATCATTTTCTCCATGAAGACATTCATTTCTGTAGTTCACTGCTACCACCAAGCAGAAAATTATTTTTCTCCTGATAATGGCCATGTTGGCCGAAACTCGTCGAGGAATCTAAATGAAATAATAATAAAAAGGAAAGACTATTGATATACAACCCAGTGTGTCTGAAGATTTTAATTTTTAAATATTTTTATTGTTCAAAATACACACATACACACACACTCATATATATATATATTCATATATATATATATATATATATATATATATATATATTTAATTTATTATAATATATATATATATTATAATAAATTATAATAAAAACATTTTACATTGATACACGAAAACTTTCATGTTTCGGTACTAATATGGTACTTCTTCAGGCGATGGTAGATAACTAAGGATCTAAGAAAAATGATTTAAAAAAACAAATTGTCCTGCGTATGACGATAAACTACATCCAACAGCAAGGCCTCTGATCAGGAGGTTTTGAGGACCATGGGATTGCTGGTGTTCCCAGGTCCACCCTGACTCGGTGTGGTAGCACCTGTTAGGGCCCCAACTATGGGCAGTTAACCCCATAAAAGAGATCAAACCATTATGAAAGTGTAAAATAGGTTTTAATACCAGCAATACACTTCTGAACAAAAATATTACCAGCAATAAAAATCTTGTCAGCATTAAATAACCCAGTGAGGTTGATATGCCGTAAACCAAACCAAACCAAACTAAAAAAAAAAAAAAAGAAACAACACTTTACCTCTTTTCGTAAGTTAAAAGGTGCGCTTCAGGTCAGAATTAAAAAGAAAAGAAATTGTTTTTAAATTAAAGTTATCTACCATCACCTGAAGAAGTACCATCTTAGTACCGAAACATGAAAGTTTTTCTGTAACATTGTAAAATGGTTTTATTGCTTTTCATGTTTCAATACTTTAATTGTACTTCTTCTAGTTTTAAAGGAATTCTTGGTACTCCCGATATAATTTTTTTTAACTGATAGCATTCCTATAGTAGAAATAGCGCTTAGGTAAACAAGAGAGTCTGATTAAGATCGGTTTTGCAATGGACATTCTTTAGAATTTCTTTAAATATACTTGTTGGTAATATCTGCGTTATCTGCTTTGGAATGGCTATTATTATTCAGGTTTTTGTATTAATTTAAAAATTTATTATTATCTTTTTTAATATATAGGAAAGGTGTGAATCCTCTTCTTCACCCTCTAGTTATGGGCAAATAGCAGTACAGACTGGGTTCTATAGCCTTGGATGGCAACTGATCTAGGAGAAGGACAACTCGGAATTCAAAACCTGCGGAGGGTCGTTTGGGGACCCTGCGGCACGTAGTGCACCAAGTCTCTGTATTCGGCCCTTCAAAAAGTGTTAATGGTCCTGCACAAAACCTTCACCATTATAATCAAATCTCATGTGCTGGTGTCGGGCTGTCAGTTTCCTAGGAACTGATCTGCTTCACCCTCATACGTCGAATTCGACGGGAGAGTCGATAGAGTACATATATATATATATATATATATATATATATATATATATATATATATATATCTGATATCTGATCTCATTGGTCTTTTTATATTATACATCTGATCTCATTGATCTTTTTATATCTTACTGTTCTTTCTTTATATATATATATATATATATATATATATATATGATATTATCATTATTTATTTATATATGTGTGCGTGTGTAGGTTTGAGTAATTGTCGTTTTTTTTTACCGTTCCAAAAGTGCCATTACCTTTGTTTAAAAGATTCACCTCAGACCAAAAAATCGAATATTTCTGCTATGTCTGGGTCGATAGTGTGCAATTTCCACTTTTCAGTCTTAAGAGAAAGGTATTTCCGTAACCGTGTGGGTGGTGAATTAGTTTTCCACCTTACAACGCCTTTCACGTAGACAAAATGTTTGCAAGCCTTTTGTCACTCAATCGCTATGTTCTTTAGTCCCATCAGTTCGGACTTTTACAGCTAAAACGCGACACGCCACGTATACTATCGAATAATCCCCATTTTCTTCGTTGTTCATTGGTAAAAAGGAAGCCGCATTCGGACAGGTTTTATTCCCCGCACGACACGCAACTTTGGGTAATAGGTTCCCAATAGAATGATTCCTCGACCAGTACAATCGGAACCTGTTTGTCTCTCGTCAACCGTTATCTACTTTCAACAACATCATTCAGTAGCACTCAACCTTGAGTGGCTCTTGGTCCTTGTATTGGGTGAACAACGGTACAAAAATAAATTTATCATATTCCCTCAAAGTCCGCTTGCCTTAAAAATGCCTCAAAAATGTTATCTTCAGATATATCTAGCCCTGATATATTTTATGAGAAGCAATGTTTATCGCTCTCTCTCCCCCTCTCTCCATATATATATATATATATATATATATATATATATATATAGAGAGAGAGAGAGAGAGAGAGAGAGAGAGATGAGACGAGACACGGTGGAGTAATGAATAGCGGCACAGATTGTGGGATCGGAGAGCCGAGTTTGAATTCAAGTTTGAATCGATTACATTCAGTTACATGCTAATTCCCTAGCAAAAAGTATGAATCCTTTCTTCTCCCCATATATATATATATGCGCGTGTGTGTGTTTGAATAAAGACAAAATGAAACTTATCTTAGCCGGCGCATTTCGTCCTCTGATGGACTTTATCTAAAGATTTTATTTTTCAACAATTATTTATAAACAGAGGTAAAATGTCGTTAGGTTTTCAAATATACTTAGTGCAACTCAAAGTCAAGCTAAATTATGGAGGATTCTGAGTGATATCATATAATGTCTAATAATTGAAAATGAGTGAAATGAGTAAATGTATTTGTCATTGAATTTTATTTATTCTGTAATTATTATTTATGTTATTTTAGTTTGAGTTTAATTTCAATCAGATCATTATCTATCTATCTATCTATCTATCTATCTATCTATCTATCTATCTCAGTTTATTATCTCTCTCTATCTATCTATCTATCTATCTATGTATCTATCTATCTCAGTTCATTATCTATCTTTCTATCTCAATCTGATCATTATCCATCCATCTATCTATTTCTGGTCATTATCTGTTTGTAATGGCGTTAAGACATATAACAGGCCAACGCATTTCCATTTTGACTGGTCTTAGTCTCGTCGATTTATCAAGAATTTGTTTTTTATATTTTTAAATATATTGACTGAATTGAATCTGTTTTTAATGATTGATTTTTATCTTCCGTGATCCAATATCAATATTCAATCACTCTTACAAAATATTTACACCAAATTTGTCAGCAGCTTGACAGCAATTCATACGCTTTGCTCTGTAATAACTTAAAAAAGACTATTGACTGGATTTTGCTACAAATACCCATGATGCAATTTTTACTTGATTTACTTACGTGCCTTTTCTTTCTTTTGATTTATATTATGGCGCCAAAAATGAATACAATGAAAATAAGAGCCACATCACTCTCATATGCATTAGAGCGGAAATGGTGTCATTGGTAAGACTAGGGAGAAGTTATCACCCGCACACACTTTTGATGAAACTGAGAACGAAACAAAATATTTAATTCATCTTCTTTAGCTCAATTGTTGACAAAATATATGAACTGAGTTCTATCATTTTTGCCGGAATTGAGAACAAATCAAAAGACTTAATTATTTTAGTTTCAGTTTAATTTATGTATTATTTTACTTTAAATAATAGATTTTTTATTTGACCGTTTTCTTTTAATTTTATATCATTCTTATAGTCACGTATGTTAGCCTAAGAAAAGAGATATTTCTTTTAGGAAAGGCGATATTTGAAAAAATCCGGGGCTTAAATTTATATTTTGATAAGATTTGATAGCGGCACTTTCGAGAATTTTCCGTCTAAGTTATCTTCTCTTTTTCTTTATTTTCTTATAAGTGTGTCATTCCTTAGTTGAACTTATTTGCATGTATGACTAATGCATTTGATAAACTGTTGTGCACATCATCCGTTTTGTGTTCATCGATACGTGATTTTATAAATTTCTGCAAGTTTCACCAATATATTGTAAGGAGCAGTAGTAACAGTTTATTTAATATATACCTGATTCAGATTTCAGTTTCTGGTCATATCTATAATAGTTTTGAATGTGGTTATAATTATTTTGATGTTGTTTACATTGGATAAATTGTTTTGGATAGTGGTTGTTATGGTGATACGAGGTTATATGTGTTATATTGTGTTATATGTATGTTTTTATCTAGTTTATTGTTATTGTAATTATTATTTTTGTTATTAATGTCATCATCGTTTTTACATTTGTATATTTTGAATGTCTCATAGCGTTGTGAGGTTTTTAAGTTAGATCTTTTAAAAGGTGTTTTATAGATATATCTTCTGCTGGAAAATACCGCAGAGAATTACTGGTCATAAATAGAATCCTGTAATTATTCAAGAGTCTGTCTTTTGCACTAGTAAGAAATTAAGTTAAAAGAAATATTTAAGAGTAAACTGGTCTCAGATTCAAGGGTAGAATCTATTATCGACTGAGATAAGTTTTCCTTTGGTCTTTATTCATATTTTTTTCATAGATATAATGTTAATATCTGACTTTTTAAGCATTTCACCCCAAGCAAAGCGGGAAGCCACTAGGATGCAAGGGGTTACAGAAAATATAGAGCGAGATCAGATAGGAGTGATAGAAGAGGGTATGAGGAGAAGGGTAGTGGATAGATCAAGGCAACTGGAGATGTCGATTGACATTACACTTGAATAGCTGGAGCTTATAGCTCTCAGGGAAACTGGAATAGGGAAGGAAGTTCCACAGGCGAGAGGTGCGTGACATGAAGCTATTAGAGTAGAAGAGACGGCTACATTAGGAGTTTCGACAGTGAAGGGGTGAGAGCGGGATGCCAGCCTCGTAGGGCGCTTGAACTCATGAAGTCTGGGAACCAGCGAATGCAGCTCCTCGGAGCAGTTACCATGAAAGTATTTGTAGAACAGACAGAGAGAGGCGACGGCGCGTCTGTGAGAAAGTGAATGTAGACGAGATGCCAGAGCAGGGCCAATTATATTGCATATCCGCCTCTGGAGCCTACCAAGAACCCCGAGGCAAACAGAAGGGGTACCAGACCACATATGGCAGCTTAATATATATATATATAAAGAGACAGAGATAGATAGATAGATAGATAGATAGATAGATAGATAGATAGATAGATATAATTATTTATTCAAAAATTACAGCATAAACATGTTATAACATTACTACAAAAATAGCCATTTTGTTTTAACACTTCTGGTGTCTTCTCAAGTGATGGTGTTGAATGTAGAATAAAGAGTCTTTATTCATCAATCAACACCACCCCTCGATAAGACACCAGAAGTGTTTAAACAAAATTTTTATTTTGCAGTGATTTTATAACATGTTTATGCTATAATTTTCGAATAAATAATATTTGCTCTACTCTGTAATGTGCACTCTTTTAAGAATAGTGTTTTTGGTTATTGGAATTGTATTCCGTCTACACCAATCCTAGACTTGGGTATATATATATATATATATATATATATATATATATATATATATATATATATATATATATACTATAATTGAAAACATAGAAATAGACAGAAAAAGATAACCTTAGAAAATACTAGAGGAACATGAAGACAAGTGGATTTAGCGCCTCAATCACTTTGTTCAGACGGGCTTAACCAGAAATATAACAACATCGATAGAATTAACATATAACCCCATAAATCAATCAGTACCCACATTTCTCATCCACACAAGACAGACATTCATACAAAAGTGTTGAAATCTCACACTTATACACACATTCGCACAAATATATACCCATACACAAATCACACACACTCCCAAAAAACTAAAAGATAACATCCACTTAACACACACATCCGATTCTCAGCAACCAATAAAACTGTCAAGATGACCAAGGAGGGAATTATGAAATTCAGGAATCACCCATCCTCTAACTTAAAAACAACTTGAAAGAGGCCATTTGACCAACACAAGAACTGACCAATATTAACGATAAAAAACAAATGAAAACTACAGATAAAGTTCATATATATATATATATATATATATATATATATATATATATATATAAAAGCTATATCTCCGATACTTGCCTTATAAATATACCAAATTTTAAGGAACATTTTTTTCGTTACAATTCTTCTTTTTCTTTTGTGTTGTCTCACTTAAGGACATAGGCAGTCATGGTCCTCCACATCTTCTTATCCCTTGTACCTATTAATAGGCTTTGTCTTTTTGTTATTTCTCCCAAACCCTGTTCTACTATTCATTTGAATTCATCATGTATGTTACGCTCTGCTTTCCTCTTCCCCTCAATCTGTCCAGGGTGTATCAGATTTTCCAAGCCCTCTTTCTTCATTGCGTGCACCAGAAACTTCAACTGCCTCTTCCTAATGTTAAGTATAAGTCTCCTTCTTGTGTCCTTTGTTTCGAAAACCTCGTCGCTATTCACATATTCGGCCCATGATATCCTCAGCATCTTTCTGTAGAACCACATTTCTGTTGCTTCAGGTCTCTTTTTCATCTTTGAAGAGATTGTCCAGCATTTGCTGCCATACAGGAGGAAAGATGTCACGTAAGAGTTTGTTCTTTCATTCTTTCTTTCTTTCTTTTTTCCTTTCTAAACGCATCTTCCTAGACTTCACGTTTATATCTTTCATTCTATTTATCTCAGTTTGTTCATATCTATATATATAACTATGTTCATTATCTATCTATCTATCTATCTATCTATCTATCTATCTATCTATGTTCATTATCTATCTATGTATCAATCTATCTCTTTATCTCTCTATTTCTCTCTCTCTCTCTCTCTCTCTATATATATATATATATATATATATATATATATATATAAGCAAATACATGGGTATAGATCCGACAGTATGAAGAAAAATATATCGAAAAACAAAAATCCAAATATGCAATTATGCATTCCATTCATTTTCTATCTGTCTATCTCAGTCCATTATCTATCTCAGCCTTTTTATTATCTATCTATCTATCTATCTATCTATATATATATATATATATATATATATATATATATGTTTTTCTGACTCTCATTATATCTATTTATCATACATTTCCTTCTATATTTTCCTTATTATTATTGTGCTCAATGCTGCTTCATTTTGCATTATTTCTTCTTCTTCAATCTTCTTCTTCTTCTCCTCCTCCTCCTCATCCTTCTCCTCCTCCTCATCCTTCTCCTCCTCCTCCTTCGTGTTCTTCTGGAGTTTAGGGCATATGTCTACCTAACGCATTTCGATTTTGACCGCTCTTATATCAAACCTTTTAGTCTCATCGATTTATCTCGATCAGCATTTGTTTTTGTTTTTTTTATATTTTTGACTATATTGACTGAGTTAAATCTGTTTTTAATGATTGATTTTTATCTTCCGTGCTCCAATATCAATATTCAATCACTCTTACAAAATATTTACACCAAATTTCTCAGCAGCTTGACAGCAGGTCATACGCTTTGGTCTGTAATAACTTAAAAAGCTTATAGCCTGGATTTTGCTACAAATACCCATGATGCAATTTTTACTTGATTTACTTACGTGCCTTTTATTTCTTTTGATTTATATTATGGCGCCAAAAAGGAATACAATGAAAATAAGAGCCGCATCACTCTCATCATATGCATTAGAGTAAAAATGGTGCCATTGGGAAGGCTGGGGAGACATTATTACCCACACACACTTTTGATGAAACTGAGAACGAAACACAAGATTTAATTCATCTTCTTCAGCTCCATTTATGACAAAGTTTATGAGCTGAGCTCTATCATTTTTGCCGGAATTGAGAACAAAACAGAAGAATTAACTAATCTAAATTGATGATAAAGTTTTTGAAGAGGATTAGTGGTATAGTTTCGATCTAAATGCATTTATGAAGAATTTTTTAGAGAAAACGATAATGACTGATTTAAATTCTGAAAGGTACAACGCAAAGAATTATCCACTCCTTCTTAAAGATTAAGGAATTTAGCGCCCAGTTTAGTTTGGTTTGCTTTGCTTTGTCTTACGGCTTATAAACCTCAATGAGTTATTTAATGCCGACAAGATATTTATTGCTGGTAATATTTTTTTCAAAAATGTATTGCTGATAATAAAACCTATTTTTACAATTTATTAGTGTTTTGACCTCAGTTCGGGAGTTAACCATTTGCCCATATTTGGGAACTTAACAGGTGCTGCCACCCCGCGTCAGGGTGGACCTGGGAAGACCAGAAATTAAGAGGTGGTTCTACACTCTTCAAAATCTTTTGCTGTTGGATGTAGTTTATTGTCTTACCCAGGAATCGGATGTAGTTTATCGTCATATTCGAAACTCAGTTTAAAATAGCAAATAACAAAGACATTACTTATATATGGATGCCATATGCTTTGTATCATTAAATTTTATAAAAATTTCGAAAAATAAAAAAAATTATTCTTGAATATCTCTTCTGTTAATTTGGGCGTCACTTGTCCAACTTTCGGGTGCATTTGTTCGCCCGGGGACACCGGCTGGGAAACGTTACTTTAGATGAATGTTAAGATTAGGATGGACAGCGCACATGACACATTAGGAAGATTTCAGGAGAATGGGAATTAGAAAAAAAACTGCTGTTAATGATGGGAGTGGTGAAATTTTTAGGAGGGTTAAGGGAAAAACGGTCTTTTGAAAAGGAAAACATTATATAAATACAGAAATACAACAATCTATTTCTTGTTAACAGTTAAATAGATTTCAGCCTTGAAAATGGGTAAATGTATAGCCGAAAGCGATCGAAAAAAAAAAGGAAGAATTGGACAGTTTTTATATAATTTATCCTCCGAAAAGAAAAAGAATTATAAGAACACATGAGAAATTCTATAAAAAATAAATCAAAGCACCTTGTCTGTCATATTGAATGAAACGTGCATAAAAGAAGGATTGCTGCCTAAACACACAAATATATATATAAGTTAGACAGCCTGTCGCATCTGAGTGTCGACATAAATGTTCACTTTTATATTTACATACGCTCTGTCACTGATATTGAGCACTTTACCCCCTAAATATGGCATAACTATTTCTTCATATATATATATATATATATATATATATATATATATATATATATATATATCAGGTGGCGTGATGATTGTCTCTGAGTGTTGACTTAACTCTCCTCTTTTATATTTTATATTTAAATACGCTCTATCTCTCATACTGTGTACTTTATCCTATAAATATACGATAAATTTAAATTATATATATATATATATATATATATATATATATATATATATATATATATATATATATATATATATATATTACTTCAAATGTTATTACTTTGTATTTGAAAAAGACGTTACATTTTTATTTATTAAACACTATGCATCACGTCTGTCGGCTTGCGCGTTCGAGTAATCTTAGAAGAAAAAAATGCGTTCCCCGGTAGGGATTTAACATGCCTTCGCTCTTTTACCCAGGTAACCACGGTTTTAGCCACTGGACTTTACAGCTCCGTTCCAGAGAAAAACGCAGCAAAGGCGGCTCCATTTCATTGTTTTCAGAAAAGCTCATCCTCTTCCGACGCATTCGACAATCATAATGTATGTCGTCATTGGTCTACGTTTGGATACGCTTTGAGCAGATATAAATGTACGTGAGAGATTCATGGAAGATTGTAGTTTAAAAGCAGTAAAATCGACCTTGCTAACCGAACGATCCTCTGTGGCTCAATCGGTTAAGGCACGTCAGGCTATATGATGGTTCCGTATAGGACACAGATTCCTGTCGGAAGACGAATATTTTCCATGAAAATTTCTCGGACATTCAGACTGGTAAATATTATCAATACTGTTTATTATAAACAGAGCATTTACTTAAATATTTGTATCTATAAAAAGAATGTATAATCATAAAAATTATATCCCTATATATATATATATATATATATATATATATATATATTTTAGGATGTAACCTGTGTCTCCCTATCATATTCACACACACACACACACACACACACACACACACACATATATATATATATATATATATATATATATAGGTAAAAAGTGAAATTGTTAGAAAAGTGCAAAAATCTTACTGCACTGCATAGAGAAAATAAGATTTGTGAAAACATACAATGTTTATATGTATTTATATATAATAATTATAATATATGTAGTTTTAAAGAGAAATATTAAAATTAAATTGTTTGTTTACAGGTGGCCTTTCAAAAAATTGTTTTTCCTGAAAAGCTTTCGCTTTTAGCTTTTCAAAAAGTTTGTAAATATTTATATTCCCCATATAAACATTTACAATTTTTATGACTTCCCATATATATATATATATATATGTATATATATATATATATATATATATATATAAGTAACCAGTGAAGATGAGGGAACGTTCGTAACTTTTACTTTAAAAGAAGGCTCGATATAAAGTAGAGCAATATTATTTATTTTAGTATATTACATCGAAAACATGTGAAAATTGCTACACAATTGCAGTCGTGTTTCGATGCGTATCAATGCATCTCATCAGGTGAATATAAATTACTAACGAGTGAACAATTTATTTAGATTTTAATGCATAATACAACTTTTTTTTTACAAAGAAGTGAGCGTTATATGGTTTGTGGGCTTTATTCTGATCAACCAATCAAATATGACCTACATTAAATTTAAACTAAACGAAGAAGCAAAAATTTTAAAATTATTTTTTATGGATGAGTTATGACTCGTAGATTGGCAGCTAACGACAGCCTGACATAAACGGATAGAGAAATAGATAAATAAATTATTCACACCAGAAAATGTCATTAATAAATAAAAATGGGGTGGAGAGGTAATTTATCAAAATGCTAAACAAGTTATATGCTTTGTGAGTTTTCTACATAAGTTTTTATAGATGCTAAATAAATAGCTTGTTTAAGAAACTAGTAAATAATTTAAACGTATAGAATTATTTTGTAAATTAGTATGCATCATTTGAATAAAGTTTCTTCATAATACAGATGTTAATAACAATAACCAATCAATAAAAAATATCAAAAATACCAATCAAATACCAATACATTCGTGCAAGATATTAGTAATACTACCAGAAGATTAATACAAAATTATATAAAATCTCAATTAATCCTTCAAATAGAATGATAAGCCATACGTTTGGGAACGCAGTACAACTAAAATATAGGAAAACGTATAATACAAATTCGAAAGATTAACTAAATTGTAAGTTAAAAGTTAAGTTTACAATTTACTGTTAATTCATTCCTTTGATTTATTAAGAAATTTTTATTGAATCTGATAATTTCTAGTTTTTCATGTAAATGCAAAAAACAGTGTACATATAAAGATCTACATGTCCTTGCAGTTTTTTAAATTTTCCATTTTACCCTGGGAGTCTTATCATCTTTTAAACTCCAAAAACCTTTAGAAAGTGATGTATTACTTATGTAAGTACTATTGTGAAGGACAAGTTATGTTGATACAAACTCATCTTGAAAGAATTCGTAGTACTACCAAGATTTTTCAACCGATGGATTCTCTATTGTAGAGATAGTACAAAGATAAACAAGAGATTTAGTTAAACATTTGTTTAGCAATAGACACTGGTCCGAATTCCTACAATTACATTGGCCAATATCATTAATAATATATATCTTGGAATGTGTATTATGATCCAGATTATTAAAATGGTTTAAAATTGCATTATTGTTTAACTTTATAATCTTCTCAAGATGATTGATGCAGCTATAACTTAGTTTTAATGTGTTTCTAAATAAGTATTGATTGATTGATTAAATGGTGAGGTATATCAAATGATCTTCCTATTTCTATTTCTTTTCTTTGGACGACTATCATCAAATTTTCTAAACTTTCAGCACACATATAGTTACTATTGTTTAGAACTTTATTGTACACACCGCTATATTTATCAAACACAGTTTTGTTCGATGAGTGGTTGCTAATCCTACGTTCTAATTCTATACGTATATAATAGCTGGTCACACGAGGATAGCCGTCTACCAGGGCAGCTAGCCAATCCCTATTGCACTTTTGTGTTTTCTCAACAGCCACAGTGTGTATGTGTGTGTGTATGTGTGTGTGTGTACACACACACATACACACACATATATATACACACACATATATATATACAAGAATGACCAATCAAAATACAAGTATAGGAAAATTCAAAAAGCTTGAAAACGAAGTGATGTTATAATAGCTATTCAGATCTTTAAAATAGGGGTAATATTAAAAAAAGAATTTATTCTAAATAATCATTATTAAATTATATGATAAAATTTGATATTAAAATTAAAAGTAAAAATTACCAATTTTAAAATCCAAATTTAATCACTATTAAGTTTAAAATTATAAAATTACTGAGGAGAAAAGAAGAAACAAAATGGCTATTTTTGTAGTCATTTTATAACATATTTATGTTATATTTTTTAAAAATAACTAATTATATATATATATATATATATATATATATATAGAGAGAGAGAGAGAGAGAGACAGACAGACAGACAGACAGACAGAGAAAGAATGAGGGTGCGACGGATGAATTGTCAATTAAATGACGCAAAAATAAAAATAACATTAACATCTTATTTTAACAAATATATTTACCAAAATTACACAAAACATCTTGAAATATGAATATGAGTTAATTTATTCAATAAAATCACTATCCCCTGCACCTTTTCTAGACGGTCTCCTTGTTGATGAAGGCTGCCATAATCCTTGCTTTGGTATTACAAGGAGTTTTGTTGGTCTCTCTCTCAAGTTCGCCTCATACATAATAATCAATGGGATTGCAGTCTGGAGAGTTAGGTGGCCAGATGTAAGGTATGATGTGGCCGTAGAAATTGCCCGATTGCTATGACTGGGTTCTCCTGCTTTAGTGGCATGGTGCAGATTCAGGTTACCAGACATAGGGTCTTCCAGAAGTCACCTTCTTGAACCAAGGCGGCACTACCTCCTCAAGTTATTGTTGACTCCGAGGTTCTAAGCAACAAATTCAGGAGTGTTTTTCTTATCAGAACGATCACAGTTTTACGAGCTTCCGTACCTTTGTAATCACTATTAGACTCATCCAATTCTTTCCGAATCCTCGGCACTGTCCTCAGATTGAGACTCAGACACTCTAAAATGTTAGTATTGGGGCTTCCAGTGCGAATGCCAAGGAGTACAGTATGCTCTTTCCAAATTTCTGACGGAGTGAATTGGGACATGGTAGTCTTTTTCTCACAGACGATGCCCAACTGACCCTACTATATTATGAAGTCGACAAAATCAAAAACAAACAACGTGCATGCATGAAATTAAAATGGCGATAATTTAACCTCCCACCAATATAATATATATATATATATATATATATATTATATATATATATATGCATATTTATCTCTCTCCATCTCTTGTTATCTATCTTGATTTCTTTGTATTTAAGTCTCTTTATATCCTTTTTTATCTAACAATTAGTCTGTCTGCCTCTACCTGTTCAGATCTATCTATCTATCTATCTATCTATCTATCTCTCTCTCTCTCTCTCTATATATATATATATATATATATATATATATATATATATATATATATAGAGAGAGAGAGAGAGAGAGAGAGAATATGCATATATGCAACAACATCCCATAGCACTCCAGCAAATGTTACAATTCTTGAGAAAATAACCATACACTTCTCTCTCTCTCTCTCTCTCTCTCTCTCTATATATATATATATATATATATATATATATATATATATATATATATATATATTGCTGGGGTGCTATGGGATGTTGTTGCATAGATGGCATATTCTCGCGCAAAACCAATTCCTGGTTATCGAATAAATTCATCTAATGTGTTTTATCGTTCTACAGATACAGAAAATCGAAAATTATCCTGAAGATTTCCTCGAATGAAAAACCGAATCGTTCTTTTATGATTGAATACATAATTTACTTAAAAGTTTTTTTTCTCTCTCTCTCTCTCGCCAAATTCCAGCTTGCACATTTAAATTTCTATCCTTCTATTCTTCGACCCTACATCGGTTATTGCTGCCACATATCTTCAGATGCTCCTTTTTTACATCTAGAGATTCTTGTTAAATTTCAAAGAAGAATCTGCAAATCTTTCAGACTTGGCATCTCGGCTTCAGTTCCTTACCCACAGATGTAACGTAATTTCCCTTTGTTTTTTTTTTTATAAATATCTTTACAGTAATCGTTTTGATAAGCTTTCCCTGGTACCTTGACTCCGTGAATTTAAACGCAGTACAGGATTAGCTGCCGTGTCTCATAATGTTATTGTCAAAATAAGTTTTAAGCTAATAGTTTCTTCTTTTGAACTTCCCGCCTGTGAAATTCTTTTCAGGCTTCTTGCCTTCCTGTTGAACAAAAAAATTAAATATCAATTGTCATATTCTGTCTCTATGAACCTGTTATTCTATAACCCTGTTTCATTTACTCGATATTGAATTTATCTGTTTTGATTTATATTATTAATTTTGATTTAAAAAAAATGTGTATAATAACCAATTGCTGGATACGGAGAAGAAGTCAGAACATTAAATAAGCCCAAAGTATCGTTTTTTTTTTTTAGTTTACGGTAGGTGGAATTTGACATATTTCAGCTTCAATGAGAGGAAGTATTTAATATTCATACATATATCAACAATATTGGCAGAATTTATTGAAAACTGATGAATTCTTCAACTAGAATCATAGACAGTATGTTCTACCTGATAATGACAGGTTTTACAATACCATTACAAATGTTGAATTAGCTGGGGATGCATCTTTTACATTTACCAAAATTCTATGGTACCAATTCTTTTTATTCAATTATCAAAACTACTTCCTTGTAGGCAAGCATTTCTCTAATTAGGATCCAATTAAAGAAACCTTCGATGAAGTCATCAGTTATTCCAATGAATAATTTTCAGGATGCGAATTCACGATTGCTTGTAAAGTAAATGTATGGAAGCATAGAAGAGAATATTTTGATGAAATAGATAAATTGCTTATTATGATTTAAATAGAAAAAAATGTATTGTAGACATTAATGAATAGTTTCATAGTGACGCTCCTTTTTTCAATCCTTCTCGCCTGTAATCTTTCCCGCCTTTGCTTCCTGATTTCTTTCACGCCTCATACAGAACAGCGTTTTCCTTTTGCACTCACATCGACTCGTTGATACTTTTGTTATATAAAGTATTTATCAGTTCGCGAGTTGGTAACAGCAATTTTAATTTGAGAACTGCCCAATTTCTGGTTATCGCTCGACATCTCTCATCAGTCTAACTCAACTGCTACCAAAGCTAAGTCCGCAAAACATAGGCCACAGGTGTACAAGCAAGGTGATTTCGGCCACTGATATGGCTTTAGAATAGAAAATGACCGTTCGGTTTTCCCTATGGACATGGCCTTTATCGCCTTTAGTATGGATCAGGTCATAACAGGCCCATCCACGTTCTTTACTTGCTCTCTCTTTCTTTCTTTTCTATTTCTTCCTTTTTTTCTTTATTCTTGCTCTCTATCTTTTCTTTCTTTATCTTTCTCCATCTCTCTCCCTTCTCTCGCTCTTCTCTCTCTCTCTCTCTCTCTCTCTCTCTCTCTCTCTCTCTCTCTGTCTTTCCTTCTGTGTTACTTCAATTTTTTAACATATCTTTTTATTATTTCGTGCACGCAAAAAAAAACTTCGGCCTTTTTTAACAGTTAAATTAAAAGATTTAATCTTAAAGCGTTAAATATTTCTAGAATATAGATGACTTTTTGTATCTTGAGAGCCATAGTAATGAAGGTTAAAAATATACTAGGAGACGTAGCTTTTATTGGCTTCACGAATGAATTTAAAAACCACGTTCGAATCCTGAACGAATCGAGCCTTTCTCCACTTAGCACTTTGAAAAAAGATCTTCAAAACCTAGGGAAAAAATGCATCGTCAATTTTGAAACCCCTAGATTGTTGAAGAAAAATCAAATAATTCCCATATCTCTTCCTTAACCCATTACCTGCCATGAGCCCCATTGGGGATCTGTTAAAATTAAACTCACTACATGTATTTACATCGAATTGTTTACGTACATTATAATTTGCAGAGGTATATTTTACAACACTAAGTTTTTTATTATTAGCCGTAACTAATCATAGAAGACACTTTCTGTCGTAATTTTACATTTCACGAGTCGAAAAATAATGACTATTTTGAAAAGTATTTTTTTATTATTTCTAATCAATATTATGTTTTGATGTTTTATACAAATATATATTTGATGTTCTAGTTTCTATAAAGTTTCAAAGTACCAGCTATTCGAAGAAAATTTTAATATTGTATGTTCTTTTAACTCCTAAGACACCTGTCTGGGCCAAAAATGCGAATTAAAAAAAATTGGCAGTTAATGGGTTAAACAAATAGGAAAGTCAAAATCCACTAGATGACAAGGTTCTCTGTACTGGGGGGGACCATAAAGTAATGAATGTTGCAACGTTTCCTTGCTCATCATAGTTTATAATTTACCTTAAGGTATCTTGAGATGTAGCATTAGTTAGCAAGAACAGGGGTTAAAACTATCATATCATTTCTTATACCACTTTAGGACGTTTTCTCTCAACATGCACTTCTTATTTTTATCTTTGTAAACATAGTAGAGTGGTTCCCCGTTGCTTTCTCAGCTGTCTTGAATTCAGAGTTGTCTTGAAAAATATCTTTCTGATACCCTCTCTTATATCCATGTCTACAGACTCCATTCTACTTCGCTATTTAGACTGTAGCTGCTGGAAAGAAAATTGGGTTCTTATCTTTTCCGAGGGGAATAGTGTGAAAGTGAACAGGACATAGCAGGTTGAAAGATGAACTCTGCTTGTCAATTCTAGTTTTTGTTTGATCATTTCACTCCAAGAAAGGCGATAATGCCACTAGGACGCAAGGTGATACAAGAATTAAATGAGAAGACTTCAGAAAGGGAAAGTGAGGAAAACGAAAATAAAGGAACAGGTTTTATGAAGACAGAAAATGGAGATTGACGTTGCATTTAATTTAATTTTTTGTTTTTGAAGATTTTAGGCGACAGGGAAGCAAGAAATCGGAAAGTTCTACAGGTGACAAGTGCGAGAAAAAAAACTGTTAAAATTCCATAGTGTTTTGACCCCTATTTACCCATAGTCGGAACCCTAACAGATGCTACCACCTCGTGTTACGGTGGAGATGAGAACACCAGCAATTAAGAGGTGGTTTCACGCTCCTCAAAACCTCCTGATCAGAAGCCTTGCTGTCGGATGTAGTTTATCGTCTTACCCAAGACGCAGAAGTAGTTTATCGTCATACTCAGGACGGAAATAGTAGAGGTGCTTGCATCTAGCGAGTTCAATGGTAAAACGGCGAGACCTAATTGCCACTCGAGTAACCCGCTTAAATGGATGCAGTCAAGGCATTAGGGATACAAGCTCATCAGATCAGTTGTCATGAAAATATATGTGAGGCTAATAACCCTTACGCTACCGATGTATCATTATTACAGCAGAGCGTCCTGGGTAAGACGATAAACTACATCCAGCAGCAAGGTCTCTGATCAGGAGGTTTTGAAGAGCGTGGAACCACCTCTTAATTGCCGGTGTTCCCAGGTCCACCCTGACCCGGGGTGTTAGCACCTGTTAGGGTCCCAGCTATGGGCAAATAGTTAACTATTACCAGCCATACAGTTTTGAAGGATAAGTATTACCAGAAACAGATTTTTGACAAAACGAAATATTACCAGCAAAAAAAAAAAAAAAAAATTGTCGGCATTAAATAACCCATTGAGGTTGATATGCCGTAAAACAAAATAAACCAAACCAATCTAAACCAAAGAATACATATTCTATTCATACAAATCTATCCTAAGAATGTTGTCGGCATTAAATAACTCATTGAGGTTGATATGCCGTAAAACAAAATAAACCAAACCAAACCTTATTACTGCAGAGAATTCAAAATTCACATAATTCCATATGTTTAGCCTTGAGATGGTTAGTCGATGATGTTCCATACGTGATACACGCTTAGACAATCATGTATCTTTTGATACATGACTGATGAAGCAGATTTTTTCCCTCTTTCTGTGGTAGACCTGTTGCCATCCAAGGCTATAGAACCCGGTCTGTCCTGCTACTTACCCATAGGTGGGTTAGAAAAAGGGGATTCATGCATTTCTCAAGGGTATTAGCCCGTAAATCAATGTAAAGGATTCGAGAAACCTATGGATCCTCATTTTCTCCCCCCAGATATGGGTAAAATAACAGACGAAACTAGAATTCATTAATTAATACACTGGTTTCTTAGACCAGAAACGTTATGGATTGGATACTCATTAGAACTTTGTAAATATTTCATACATTGTGTCTTGAATTACTTGGGAGAGAAATGGAATATCCGCATGCCAAAGTAATTCCTGGTCCTCCAAAATGCTACACCAAAGAATTCTTGGCAATAACGGAAACTATAATAGAAGGAAAGCCTTTTAGAAATGCATAGGTGACGGCATCAGGCAGAAAATGGAAATAAAAAATGAGGGGCGGGCGGGGTTCTCGACATTTAGCGTTCGTTAGCATCGTTCTAATATATCTACTGCACTTATTTACTTCGCTACCGAAGATTTCTGAAGAATACCATTTTGGAGGCTGTCGGCATCATATCTACCCTCTTTCCACCTGACACCCTCCGACTATAGCAGAAGAAGTTATTGATGATATTGACATTAACGTTCGAATTGCACCGAAAGTGGAGATCGAACACGGACATATGGCCGCTCCTTATCTCGTTCAAACAACGTGGTTGGCCGTTGATGACGCCCGAGAAAGCGCATCCGATAAGGTCGCCTTTTGGTAGGGCCAATCTGCAGGAGAATAATGAAAAACTTGCCAACGGATTACGCCTTACTATAATGATGTCTGGCCCGAATGACGCATAAGAAAGTGAAGGAGGAACGGGGGGAGTGGGAAAACAAACTCTAGAAATGGTTGGAGGGAGTGGCAGTGAGAGGTGTGCATGAAAAGGCAGGGGACGGAGATAAGGACGTGAAAAATGTTAAAAAAATCAAGTAAAAGAAAGAAAGACAGAAAGACAGAAGAATATAGTAAAAGGGAAAAAAGAAGAATAGTTGATGAGAATGAGTGAAAAATGAAGAAGAAGAAGAAGAATGAAAGTAAAAAGAATGGACGAAGAAGAAAAAGGAGTAAAAATTTAAGAAGAAACAATACACAAAGAAGGAGAAGGAGTAGGAGAGAGAAGTGGGGGAGAGAAGAAATGAAGGAAGGTAAGAATAGAGAAAAACAGGGGGGAGAGCGGAATAAAACTGAAAGAAAGAAAGAAAGAAAGAAAGAAAGAAAGAAAGAAAGAAAGAAAGAAAGAAAGAAGATAGATTGAGGAGAAGAAAGTAAGAAAAGAAGAGAGAGAAGGAAGGAAAGAAGGATAGACAATAGATTAAAGAATAGAATGTAAGGAAGGAAGGAAGGAAGGAAGGAAGGAAGGAAGGAAGGAAGGAACGAAGGAAGGAACGAAGTTAATTAATAAAAAAGAAGGGTAATAGGAAGGAAGGAAGGACAATAGATTAAGCAATAGAATGTAAGAAAAGAATAAAGAAAGAAAAAAGAAAGAAGAAACGAAGGAAGAAACGAAGGAAAAAACGAAGGAAAAAACGGAGGAAGGAATTTAGTCAATAAAAAAAGAAGGGCAATAGATTAAGAAAAAAATGTAAGAAAAGAAGGAAGAAAAGAAGGAAGGGCAATAGGTTAAGGAAAAGAATGTAAGAAAAGAAAAAATACAGAAGAAAGAAAGAAAGAAAGAAAGAAAGAAAGAAAGAAAGAAAGAAAGAAAGAAAGAAAGAAAGAAGATAGTAGGAGAAAGTAAGAAAAGAAGAGAGAAGGAAGGAAAGAAGGACGGACAATAGATTAACGAATAGAATGTAAGGAAGGAAGTTAGGCAATAAAGGAAGAAGGGCAATAGATTAAGGAATAGAATGTAAGAAAAGAAAAAAGACAGAAGGAAGGAAGGAAGGAAGGAAGGCAGGGAAGGAAGGAAGGAAGGAAGGAAGGAAGGAAGGAAGGAAGGAAGGAAGGAAGGAAGGAAGGAATATAGATCTAGGAAAAACAAATAAGAAAAGAAGGAAGGAAGGACAATACATTAAGCAATAGAATGTAAGAAAAGAATAAAGGAAGGAAGGAAGGAAGGAAAAATAGATCAAGGAATAAAAAGTAAGAAAAGAAGGAAGGAAGCACAATAGATTAAGCAATAGAATGTAAGAAAAGAAAGAAAGAAAGAAAAAAGAAAGAAAGAAAGAAGATAGATTGAGGAGGGGAAAGTAAGAAAAGAAGAAAAAGATAAGGAAGGAATGAAGGGCGGCAAATAGATTAAATAATAGAATAGAAGGAAGATAGGAAGGAAGGACAATAGATTAAGAAATAGAAAATCAGAAAACAAGAAAGAAGCAATAAGTTCAGCAAAGCATCATTATACAAAAAAAATGTTGCTAAAAGTGAGTGAGAAAATATTGAAAAACACAGAAGAAATGAAAGAAAATAGACAAGATATTTTTGATAGTTGTAAGAATCCACCCCCACCCCAGAAAAAAAAATCGATACGAAAGGTAAAATTCATTAAAAATCACGATATTAACAAAAGGGTATAATAAATATTTCTTCTAGCCTTCCGTATTTCTTATTGCTCTAATCGTTATATTTAGTGAATACACGTGTTTCGACAGACATCTTATTTTTTTAGAACAATACGATGACATCTACAGGTCTGTGCATTCAAGAGATTTAATAAAGTAATTGTGCTTTTCATCAAGATTCGAAACTTCACCTCCCTTTTATTAGGGAAACTACCTCCAAGACAGGTGTGTCTTAGGCCGCTCATTCGCAAAAGACTTCACAGCAAAGCAATGCACCTCTCTCTCGTTGGAACCTTTCGAAGACCATATCTGCTAAATTCCTTAGAAATAGACTTTTTATGCGAACTATACCAAACAACAAAAGAATAACATGGAGTGTTTTAAAAAGAAAAATATGCCTCGAATTAAAACGGACTAAGATTTGTCATTTCCTTCTAGCTAGATGATCAACGGGGCGCTATTCTGAACTTTTCATCTCAAGTGAATATCAATAATTCTGAGTTCCACGGTATCATCAACAAGGAAATAAAAAACTCTGACAAGTCAGCACCCTACTTCATGACCGATCAAGGCATTTCAGTTACAATACCTTTATCTACCGGAGCAAAGAAAGATGAATGAATTGTGTAAGCCGGAACTAGATTATGTTTCCCGCTCTTATGCTACAAGGACATTTAACGTCTCCTCGAGAAATTAGGAAAGAAGAAATAAAGAATTGATTGAGAGGCGAATATATCTTTTTATAAAAATATTTTTAAAAAGTGACACTAGATATTTAATTTTTATATAAACATAAATATATATTTTAAAAAAGTGACAGTAGATATTTAATTTTATATAAAAGAATTATCAAAACAGACGAAAATTTAAATTTTTGCCATAGTTTCAAAGTCAGCAAAGTAAAATATCATAGAGAAGGCTTTTGAAACACAAAGTAAGGCAAACGTATAGACGGTTGAAGTGAAGATCAAAACAACAAACAATAAACCAACATTGAAAGTAACGTAATTCAAATAGAAGTCAATGTGTTTAAATTTAAAAAAAGGCCTACATAAGTAGGTATCCGTTTTAACATAATAGAATAAACAGTATTTAGAAAAACTCATTTAATAAATTCATATAATGAATCGATATTATAATAATCTAATTTCCCTGTCTGTATGTTTTAGTATCTGTCTATATTTCTGAGATGAGGTATTATGTACAATATTTACATTATTCGAACTATTGTCCTCATCTTTGTCGCCATATTTATTACAACGTTTCGGTCTTTCACTATCTGTCTATATTTCTGAGATGAGGTATTATGTACATTATTTACATTATTCGAACTATTGTCCTCATCTTTGTCGACATATTTATTACAACGTTTCGGCCTTTCAGTATCTGTCTATATTTCTGAGATGAGTTATTATGTACACTATTTACATTATTCGAACTATTGTCCTCATCTTTGTCGCTATATTTATTACAACGTTTCGGCCCTTCAGTATCTGTCTATATTTCTGAGATGAGGTATTATGTACACTATTTACATTATTCGGACTATTGTCCTTATCTTTGTCGCCATATTTATTACAACATTTCGGCAAGGACATATGGCACAGTGGATAAAGGCGTTGGTTAGATCCAGTGAGAGGAACCAAAGGGTGTGAGTTCAATATCTGGTTAAGGCGGTGGAGAACTTGAATTAACAGGAGATAACTGATAACTGACATCCATTAGACATGTCATGTGGAAATAGAACAGTCTTCCTCAGTGAATAAAATAAAGGGTTCAGTTCAACATTCCAACCACCTGAAGAAGGTCGGAGCGTGCAATAAGATAGTGAAAGGCCGAAATGTTGTATTAAATATGGCGACAAAGTTGAGGTCAATAGTCCGAATAATGTAAATAATGTACATAATACCTCATCTCAGAAATATAGACAGATAGTGAAAGGCTGAAACGTTGTAATATATATGGCGACAAAGATGAGAACAATAGTCCGAATAATGTAAATAGTGTGTATGTTTTAGTTTGTTAGCAGAACAGAACAAAAACAGCACATCTTTGCGCAATTCGTGTTAGCGCATTACCGTTAACAATGCTCTATCTTAAAGAATAAAGCAATTTCTAATCTAATTTGCAATTTAATGAGAAGAGTTATAATTTCTAATAACTATATCAGAAACATGGCCCCCTGTCCGATTGAAATATCGCTGAAAAAGAATTTAACGACCTGGAAATAGAAATTGAAGGAAAGCGGCATTTAAGCACCAGCACTATTCCAATAATAATATGAGCACTAGGAATGATGTAAAAAGAATAGAAATATGCACATTAAAAATATCCCTGAAAATCCGTCTCTGAGATAAAAATGTTCGAGTGCCTCACTACCATTAATGTATTCAAAAATATTATTTACTTATTATTTACTTATTATTCAAATATTTCTTAATTATTTACTTATTATTCAAAAATACTTTTCACTTATTCAAAAATATTTCTCAATGTGTTATGCTCAACTCCTTTATAACGAAAAATATTTTTTACCTCAAGTATTGGTTAAAAGACAACGTAAATGATTGTAAAAAAGAAAAAAAAAAGGAAAACAGAAAATTTGCAGTGGAAAATGTCATGATGCCATTTCTGACCTTAGGATTTGGGGCAGGACCCGGAAAGAAATGTGTACACGCCAGAAATCAAAGGAAATCAAATAATAATAATAATAATAATAATAATAACGGGGTTCGGAATCGACAGATATGCCAAAGCAAACTTCAAAGACGATAAACTAAAGAAAACTACATGTTTAGACCTTGATATCAGCAACAAGATTAAGGAATTAGTCCGAGATAGTACATACAAATAATTAGAAATTAATGAAGAAGAAGGAATACATCATTGAATTATGAAGAAAAAGATCCGAAAAGAATATTAAAGGAGAGTGTGTCGCTAATAGAAATCGAAATTAATCAGGCCAATAAAATGAAGGCTACCAACAGCTTAGCTATACCCATAGTAACATACAGATTCAACATCATTAAATGGAAGTTGAATGACATTAAAAGATTAGAGGCCAACACCAGAAAAATGCTTACCTAAATGAGGATGGACCATCCAAAATCAGATAAGCTGTAGGTACAAAGAATTTTAGGGGGTCGAAGTCTAATCCAACTTGAACTGAGAGATGTTACCTGAGAGTTAGGAAAATTGTCTATTGTTGTAGTATTTA